CCGATCTTTTCTTGATCACTAACCAACAATAGCCTTAGTTTTCTTTGTTCTTAACTTTTTTTGCATGCTACTTTCATTATACATCCTCCAGAGCGCATCCAATATAGTCTCAGCACAAGCTAATTATACACCATAACTAGTGAAATCAAACTTTTCAGGAGGCTATGTCAGCTTCTTCATCTTCTCCGCCAGTTGCAAATTTAGATCCCAGAATCACCTCCGCTTTGCAGTATGCTCTGCCATCCTCATCTTTCTCAGTTCCTCCCATAACAACAATACAAGGGCCACCAATGTCTTTTCCTAGTCAGCAATTACCTCAAGTGACCTCACTCCATAAACCGCTGGTATCTCAACTTGGACAAATAGAATCTAACTTGCACAGTTCTCCTGCCACCGAAGAGGGTGAAGTTCCAGAATCCGAATTAGATCCTGACACAAGAAGGAGAATGCTAATTTTGCAACACGGTCAAGACGTGAGAGAGCCTCCACCGGAGCCTCATTTTTCTGCTTGTCCACCTGTACCACCACCTCCCATGCAAGTGTCCGTTCCAAGAGTTCCACCACGTGGTTGGTTTCCCGTTGAAGAAGAAATGAGTCCACGGCAATTAAACAGAGTGGGTCCACCCAAGGAGTTCCATTTGAATACGGAGCCTCTTCCGACAGACAAGAATCGGGGTCATCATCCTCCTCCTTTTCTCCCAAAAGTGGAACCTTTGATTCCTCCTGGTAGAGTTGTCGAAAGCCAAAGGTTGCCGAAGGAGGTATATGATCCATTTGTATTCATGCTGTTAACCTTTTAATTGGCTTTCAGTGATGATGAGTTTCCTGATGTGTTGAGATTTTATTCATTTAGGCATTTCCAAGAGAAGATCAATTGATATTAAATCAATCAGCGCCTGATTATCAGTCTTTTTTGGGTAAGCATTTTGTTTTTGTTACCATAAGTAAGTGGAAAAGTTGCATGTATCAGATAACTGCTGATGTAGTTTCACATCCGAATTAGGCTCCCCAAAAGTCCGATCTTGCTTGGGGTTCAGAATCTAATGTAATATTATTTTTTTTAGATGAGTTTGACAGTATGTTTCAATATCAGTTGAAACACAAGGATTTGCTTAGTTTCATTCATGAAATCGGTGTTTTATTTGTGTATCCATATTTTTTTAGGTGGAGATGGCCCTGTACCTCAGCCACTTTCATCAAATAAAGATTTCGAGTTTGAAGCTGGACAGATTGGTCCCTACCCTGAAACATGTACAGGAGCGTTACAAGAAATCGCGTTCAAGTGTGGGACAAAGGTACTAAACAGCATTTGACGCCTTGCCTTTCTTATTGTTTTGTGGCTCACTTCTCACTTTCTCAGATGGTTACTTCAAATACTTGTAGGTGGAGTACAAGCAATCTATATTATCAAGCACAGAATTACAGTTTCTTGTAGAGGTGATTCCGGACTTTCCATTAGCAACTGACTAACGAAGGGAGAAATTTTGGATTAGAGAAAAAAAAAAAATAATGTTCTGCCTTTACCCTCCATTCCTTTTTTTCTCCCTTCCTTACTCAGACTCGGATACATAC